CCAAAAATAGTCTGGGGACTTTTTGTTTTTTTGTTTTTTTCTTTTTTGTTTTTTGTTTTTTTGTTTTTTTGTTTTTTACCTTTTTGATGCATTTTTGGGGTATTTGTCATTTTTCGTCGAAGATCCCCCTGTAGGGGGACACGCCCGACTTACCCGTACCGCCAAAATGCGTCGTCCTCTTCCTCCTCCTCCCCGCCGTCAGGCGTCGCCCCTCCTGTGCTCATGCCTCGGGCTGTCGCCCAGGGTCCACCCCTCCTCTCCGTCGTCGGGTCGTTGGTCGCTCCCTGCTCCTCCCTCCCAAGCTCCGGGCTCGCCGTCCTGGTCCCCGGGTGTCGCTCCCTCTCTGCCTTCTGCTGCCGCTGCTTTTCTGGGTCGTCCACCGGGGCGCGAGCATGTCTTCTGGCAGGCCTAGGTCGGTGGTCGCGCCACGACTTACTGGCTTCTTTGGGTGAGGCTGGTTTGCCCAACAGTCGGGAACCTTGACTTGACCGCCCCTGCACGCGCTCCTCTGCGCTACTCGGGCTTCTGAGCGTGTCGTCGACGTTACCAGACACACCGTCTTCTCTTTACTTGAGGTTGGTCTGCCCTACAGTCGGGCACGCTTACCGCCCCTTAGCTGGCGTACATTGCCTTTGGCGCCTTTTTTTCTGCACGCGCCGCACTGTTGATGGTCACCCATCGACAGCGCTCGTTGGTAATTGGTGCCCGTCAGCAAACATTGCAATTGTGCCTGTCATGGGAACTGTATCTATACTTACCCATATATATAGAGATATAGGGTCACACATAGAAACAAAGCAACTATGTCGGAAGGCGTGCCGTGACGCAGCTTTTGCAAGACGTCATCGTTTGTGTTATTGCCGCTGGCATTATCGTTTTAACTTCATCGGCGAAGAACTACGAAGAGCTCATACGTGCACCAAGGGCATGGAAAGACACACACGATGTGAAGTTCTGCTCAACACCTTGTGGATACCAGCCGATGTTCGTAGGGCGTGGCGCACGCGCGCAGAGAAGCACACACCACACACACACACACACCTTATACACCACAGTGTGCCTTGTGAACGTCGCCGCTTACCATTGGATGCAAGACGTGGGAGCGCCACTTTGCTTGTCGAACAGGAGTCGCCGTGGGTGGCGCCGCGGACGGTGCCCGTCTGAGACACAAGCTCGCCTGCCCCACGGCGGCCGCAGTCGGTATTGGACAGCATCTGCTGCTGGGAATCGTAGCCATTTTTCCCATGCCATTGGCATCGCTCGGACGTGTGCATTTCTCCTCGGCGGGGACCATCGCGGAGCACGTTCGTTCACCTTTCAAGAAAGTGCACGCGCGAAGCCGAAACATGCACAGGGAATGGACGTCCGAGCGATGGCGAGATGCCCATTCCGGGCGTCCAAGCCCTTGACCCCAGCCCAGTGGGCGCCAGGGCTCCGACTTGGCGGAGCGCCTCCTGGGAGCGGCGGCCGCGGGGTGAGCCGGCCGCGGGGTGAGCCGGCCGCGAGGTGCCGCCGTGTACCGTCGGCCTGCGCTGGCCTGCTGGCCGCCTCCTCGGAGGAAGAGGGTCAGGAGCGAAAGCAGGACGCACACGTGCATGAATCCACGTTGGTTCCGAGAGCACGCGTTGCACGAACGTTCGCATCGCGCGGCTGGTCTCGCGGACCGGGGCGCCGTATTCATGTGCGCGGTTCGGCGCGCACGTCATGTGTGGGTTCCCTCGAGAGGGCAGTTCCTGGCGGGAGGGGGGGAGGTGCCAGACGGAGGTCCGAGGCTCGTGGTCGAGGATCGAGCTTGGACACTCGTCGCCCTCCTTGGGGGCCAACCACGGGGGGCTCCCCGTCGCCACGGCCGGGCCCGCCCCGAGGATTGCCCGTCCCGGCGCACCTCGCGAGGGGTGCGGGGAGAGAGGCCCGTGCCCGCCAGCCGCGCGCTCGCCGTGGCAGAGGTCACGACACGACGGGAGGCGTCTGCAGAGCCGCTCAGTAGTCGGCCTCCGCGGGTGCCCTCGCTGGGCCCCGGGAGCGTCAACACAAGAGTATCTCGGGGGCGGAGAAGAGGGGGGTAAGGACCAGGGGGGGGTGGAGGAGGAGGAGGAGGAGGAGGAGGAGGAGGAGGAGGAGGAGGAGGAGGAGGAGGAGGAGGAGGAGGAGGAGGAGGGGAGGGGCATGAAAAGGAGGAGGAGGAGGAGGAGGAGGAGGAGGGGGAGGAGGGGGGTGTTGACTAGGGGGGGGTGGACATCATGGCGGGGGCCATGACTTTTCCCCAGATCTCATGTCGCCTCTTCTCATTTCACTGCGTCCCTGGGCCCCCCCCCGCTGGGCCGCGCACGTGCCGCCGGTCATGATTTGCACCCTCCTCTTTTGGACACCCCCCTCTTGGCCGCTCCCGATTATCCAGTTGCGCTGCGCGCGATTCCGCCACCGCGCTCCGGCGGGCCCCAGCGGGGGGGGGGCGGGCGGGTGGAGAAAGGTGTAAAGGTGTAATGAGCACCAGGAGCCACCAACTTCGTGTTTGGGTGCATCGTCTGCTTGGACGGCCAAGAACGCATCGACGTGGTCACACACACATGGGCGCATCTTGGGCTCGATGCGTGGGGGGTGGCCTAGTTATGCACTTATCTGGAATGAGCGAAAGTCGGGGGAGCGTAAGACCCGGGTTTGCCAGGACTCGGGTTCGCCATCGTTTTTTGACGACCGCGCCTCGGATTTTGACGAGGAGGAGTTTCGTGGGATGTCTGCAGCGGGAGGCCTCGTCAAAATGCAGCCTCGGCCTCGTCATTTTTTTGACGACCTCGTCGGGGATTTCCGAGTCCCCTGTACCCAGGTCTTACGTCCCCCTGAGAAAGGGCCCAGCACACACCTACCTCTGCAAGTGCGGTGGCGGATCCGAGCAAAAGACCCAACCATATGTAGTTGTGAATACAGTGTTAAGGCACCGCTTTCGGTGGGGCTCCCGATGGGTCCACGAACCGTGTGAGGGGTGCGCCAGAATTGGGCGGCGCCGCCATGCGAACCTTGCCACTGGGGCATTCGTTGGAGCTCCCCATGAGGCCATGATACGTGTGAGGGATGTACCAAAATGGAGCTGCGCCGCCGCACGAACTTTGCCCCTTGGGCCTTCGGTGGAGCTCCCTGTGGGGCCACGAGCCGTGTGAGGGGTGCGCCCAAATGGGGTGGCGCCGCCATGCGCTCCCCATGCGGCCACGAGCCGTGTGAGAGGTGCGCCACAATTGAGCTGGGCTGCCATGCGAACCCTGCCACTGGGGCCTTGGGTGTAGCTCCCTCTTGGGCCACGAGCCATGTGAGAGGTACGCCACAATGGGGCGGCGCTGCCATGCGAACTTTGCCGCTGGGACCTTCGGTGGAGCTCCCCATGAGGCCACGAACCGTGTTAGGGGTGCGCCATAATGGGGCGGCACCGCAATGCGAATTTTGCACTTGGGGCCTTCGGTGGAGCTCCTCATGGGGCCACGAACCATATGAGGGGTGCGCCGAAATGCGAACCCTGCCACTGGGGCCTTGGGTGGAGCTCCCCATGGGGCCACGAGCCGTGTGATGTGGTGCGCCGAAATTGGGTACCACTGGGGCCTTGGGTGGAGCTCCCCATGGGGCCACGAACCATGAGAGGGGTGCACCAAAATGCGAACTTTGTCGCTGGGGACTTCGGTGGAGCTCCCTCTGGGGCCTCGAGCCGTGTGAGGGGTGCGCCACAATGGAACCAAAATGGGGCTGCGCCGCCACGCGAACTTTGCCGCTGGGGCCTTCGGTGGAGAGCATGATGTGGACACGAACCGTGTGAGGGGTGCGCCAAAATGGAGCTGCGCCGCCATGCGAACTTTGCCACTGGGACCTTCGGTTGAGCTGCCAATGGGGCCTCGAGCCGTGTGAGGGGTGCGCCACAGCGGAACCAAAATGGGGCGGCGCTGCCATGCGAACTTTGTCACTGGGGCCTTCGGTGGAGCTCCCAATGGGGCCACGAACCGTGTGAGGGCAGAGGCAGGGATGGGAGGAGGAAGGAGGCGGAGGAGGAAGGAGTGAGACGCGGGGCGCCGTCTCTGCAAAACGAGGACACAGCACCACAGGATGGCTGGGAAAAACGACCCGGGGGAAAGGGGGGGATTTCTGGGGACCCCATACAGACAAAATCTCCAGCGTGGTGAAGAACGTACACCTCTTGTGCACCGTAGGGGTCCGAACCCTGACCTTCCTGAGAGCTACGAACTACTCCTTCAAGACTTTAGACTTATCTGGACTGCTTAAAACCGCGTCTGGAATCTAGATGTCAAGGCCCGTGTGATACGTTATAGCTCTCCAGGGAGGCCAGGGAGAGGTGCACCCTCTGTGGACCTCATGGGGCCCGAGAGGGGCCCCCTGGGGCCGCCGGGAGGGGCCCGAGAGGTGCACGTGTTTCTGCGCCCCCCCGCGGGTTTCGCCGCCCCGCGGGTTTCGCCAACGCCCGAGTCATCAGGACATCGCCTGTGTCTGGGCCGCCCCGGGCGCCGGTCACTTCGCGCGACCGGGCACGCTGCGGCCCAGCCCCGCGTCCCGTGCCTGGTTCCTGCTGCGACTCCCGATCGCTGCCGGTGTGGGTCGGCAAAAGAGCGGGTGCGCGCGGGGCAGTGGCTTTTGTCGGGCTCTCTGGCAGGCAGGGGGCGAGAGTAAGGAGGGCTCGCGGAGTGGAGGGGTTTTCCGGTGGTCACGACGCTGATCAAGCCGAGAGCCTGTCAGCAAAAGATGGCGAGGCAACTCGCAGAATGTCTAGTACGACTCAAGAGTTCTGCAAGGACACCAGGTTAGCAATTACAGTACAGCCCACAGAACAATTGTCCTAGCGAAAGGCCCGACCACATGCAGTTGTGAGTACTGTTGTGGCACCGCTTTCGGTTGGGGCTACGAACCATGTGCGGGGTGCGCCACAATAGGGCGGCCGCGTCGCCATGCGGTTTTTGCCAGTGGGGCCCCGGGTGGAGCTCCCCATGGGGCCACGAACCGTGTGAGGGGTGTGCCATAATGAGGCGGCGCCGCCATGCAGATTTTGCCATTGGGGCCTTGGGTGGAGCTCCCTGTGGGGCCACGAGCTGTGTGAGAGGTGCGCCACAATGGGGCGGCGCCGCCTTGCGAACTTTGCCACTGGTGCCTTCGGTGGAGCTCCCCATGAGGCCACGAACCGTGTGAGGAGTGCGCCAAAATGGGGCGGCGCCGCCATGCGATTTTTGCGACTGGGGCCTTGGGTGGAGCTCCCTATGTGGCCACGAACTGTGTGAGGGGTGTGCAAAATACGGCTGCGCCGCCATGCGAACCGTGCCACTGGGACCCTGGGTGGAGCTCCCCTATGGGGCCACGAAACGTGTGAGAGGTGCACCGACAAAAAGAGACGTGCGGAGGGCAGAGGCAGGGATGGGAGGAGGGAGGAGGGGGAGGAGGGAGGCGAGGAGGAAGAGGAAGAGGAGAGGCGGAGGTGGAGGAGGAGGAGGAGGAGGAGAGGTGGAGGACGCGGGGCGCTGTCGCTTCAAAACGAGGACCCAACACCACAGGATGGTTGGGAGAAAGAGTTCGGGGGCCAGGCAGCAGCACAGCGGTCCTGGTGTGACGCTGGCGAGGTGCACCTGACCCAAGCAAGCAAAGGAGAGGAGAGGAGGGGGAGGGAGGGGGGAGGGGGAGGGAGAGACGGGGAGAGCCAGGCATCCATCGTCAAGTTTGTTTCACGGCGTGGCTCCCACCTGCAATGCGTACGTGAGCACAGATGCGTGTTTAGATGCGAGTGCGCCCTGGTGCAGGCGAGAGCCCTTCCGTATACGTATTCTCAGTGTCGCGTGAACAAGACAGGTGTATGGTAGACGCGCCCACTTGGTCTTCACAGGAGCGCCGCCGTATCGGAACGTGTTACACGAATCTAAGCGTGTGGGATCGAAATTTATTGTCTTCAAGGAAGCACGTCTGTTCGTACATAGTTGTTTAAGAATGCCACCGACGCGTCGTACGTATTCCTATCTAGTTTGTTCAGACTGGATGCCGTTGGCGTTGCTCCAGGAGCGGGCAGGACCCATGATAATGAGCACATCAACAACTCAATGGGAGAGTTGGGCGAGGGGGAGCCTTACCGATGAGGAGTGAGGAAACGAGCGACGACGACACATAGGACGACGGGGATGTGAACGATGGACACCAGCGATGAAAAGATGAGGACACGGGGGTTGGACAAGTATGAGGATGAGGGAGAGGATACGTCAGATCGGGAGTTCAGGAGCGAGCAGGGCGGTGTGAGGTGCGGACGAGGAGCCCAACCATGCGCGAGGAGGAAGGAGCGAGGACGGTTCAGGAGGAGTGGCGGGGAGATTGAAGACGGCAGGGATGGAGAAGAACACGGATGGTTGCGCAGGGCTCTTCTTCTTCGTTCTCTTCGTCGTCGTGATCGTTCGGTTCGCCCCCCCGTTTCTCCTAGAGGCAGAGAACATTGCCAGCGAAAGCTTCTCGTCGTGTTGTTTTTCTAAGCCAGAGCCGCGTCATGACTTTACAAGTGTCCTCAAGATGCCGACCCGCAAGAGTGGCCGATGCACCGCCCTGGCTCAGGACAAGCGTCG